AGATGGTGGAATTCGTTTTCTCGTCGATTACCGCAAATTGAATTGTGTAACCAAGAAAGACTCTTTTCCACAGCCAACAACCGAAGAACTATTGCAGCGTTTGGGTGGAAATTGTTATTATACGAAGTTTGATTTGAAATCTGGTTATTTTCAAGTAAAAATTCAAGAAACGGATAAAGAAAAAACAGCATTCGTCACACAAGATGGATTATGGGAATTTAATGTAAGGAGTTATGAATGGCCCTCCCACATTCCAACGTGTAATGCATAATCTAATTGGAAGAAGGAAGAATACCCCGCCTTTCGGCCACCTTGCGGTATAGGGTGCTGCCAGGAGGCAGTTTCGTAAGCCCGATATCTTCCCTACAACTAATACTAGCTGTAGCTCTGGACAGAAGGCCAGCCTGACTAGAGTTCTTTCGCTCAATTGCTTGAGCTCCTCGTACACACTGACTAACCACATACTAGCCGCGAGGGCCGGCGTATGTCACAACGTAGTCAGCATGCTGTCGGACGGGTGGTCCGAGGCAAGCAGCCGTTAATGACTTGCCCAGCGTCATTCCATGTCTGGTGGCGCCTAGGCTCGAACACAGTACCTTGGGGGTACGTGCTGAACAACTTAACTACTCAGTCACAGCGGCTCTAACCTAATTGGAAATGGTCGATGGGACTATGTGGTTGTTTATCTGGACGATATTCTGATTTTTTCGAAAACATTTGAAGATCATAAACGACACTTGACTGAAATATTGTCAATATTACAGAAAGCAAATTTTCAAGTTAATCCAGAAAAATGCTTTATTGCTGTGGAACAAATTGAGTTTTTAAGCCATACCATCAACCATGATTTCATCCGTCCATCTCAGGAAAAAATCCATGCCATCGCTGGATTGAATCCACCAAGAACTTTAAATGAAGCTAATGAATTTATTGGAAAACTGAATTGGTACCGTAAGTTTATTCCACATTTTGCTGAGATTGCAGCTCCAATTCATAAAGTAACAAATAAAACAAAAAAGACTAAACATGACTTCCACTGGCATGATGAACAACAACAAGCCTTCGAAAAATTTAAACACATATTGACAACGTATCCACTGTTTCTACAATTTCCCGATTCAGCTGCTCCTTTAATCTTAGCAACGGATGCTTCCGACGTCGGCATTAGTGGAATATTACGCCAAGAAAGTCCAAAGGGAACAAAAATTAATTATTATAAATCTCGAACATTAAGTGATACTGAGAAACGATATGATACCATTGAAAAGGAGGCATTAGCCATATACTGGTGCATCACAGACTTACGGCAGTACATTGGTGACTCATATTTCTCCGTCGAAACAGATCACAAACCACTTGCAAATTTTCACAAAAAGGACATAAACAACAAACGAGTAATGAATTGGCTATTTAAACTGCAAGATATTATTCCACAAATTACGGAAATCAAACATAAATTACGGGACAAAAACACCGGTCCAGATTATTTGTCAAAACATCCTACTTCCTCTCCATGCGTCGAAACTACATTAGAAAGCGACGAAGAACATTGGCCTCGCGGAACGGAAGCTTGGGAAATTAAGCCACCTCGTGTCAGCTCATTTACTGCGCAAATAAATGCAGTTATCACTCGTCAAGAAGCAAAACGACGGCAGCAACGACAACTACTGGCCGAATCTCTTTCACGTCATATTACTACGGCCACTAGTCCAACGTCTGCAACTTCAACATCTTCAATATCTCTTTCCTCAACGCCCCTATTCAATTTCAGTACTAATCGCATTCGTGGGGAACAACAGAAAGATCCGGTTCTCCAAGACAAAATTAAACAGGTTCGACTAAACCCATCAAAGCATGCCTTCGAAATCCGCGACCATGTTCTTTATAAATTATTACCTCGTGGAAAAATTAATCGTAGTTTACCATACCTTCCACAATCACTCATTAAAGACATTTTATTTACACATCATGATCATCCACTGAGCGGACACTTTGGTGTTGAACGAACTTGGAGAAATTTAAAGGATAAATATTATTGGCCAAACATGAAAGAATCAATTGAGCATTACATCAGATCATGTCAGGAATGTTCGAAATTCAACATACAACGCAAAAAACCACCAGGACTACTTCAACCAATTGAACCACCCGATGAAGTATTTCAAGTACTTGGAATTGACTGGTGGGGTCCTGCTCCTGAATCATCAGTTAGTAATAAATATGTGTTCGTCATCACTGATCGCTTATCTGGATATGCCATAGTTAAAGCATCTCGGACCAATACTGCACAAGCAACAGCTGAAATATTGATGGAACATATGATTCTGGTACATGGTGCACCTGATATACTCCTTAGTGATCAAGGCCAACACTTCAACAATGACCTGATAAAGAATATATCGACATTAATCGGATGTCAACACATCTTTTCAACAGCTTACCACTCACAGACAAACGGACAAACTGAACGCTTCAACGCCACATTCGTCACCCAATTATCCAAATATTGTGACGAAGAGCGCACAAATTGGGATGTTTATTTACCATCTGTTGTATTTGCGTATAATCATGGTCAACATAGCTCCAGCGGATTTACGCCATATCAACTTGCCTTCTGTCGAAAGCCACTGTTTATATTACATCATGTTTTTCTGTTACGTTCTTTCTTTCTTTCCTTCTTTCTCGCCTATATATATACACAGGCATATACTGTACGAGGAGAGGTCTTCGCTTTCGGAATAAAACATTTATACATACAAGTGAAGACTCGAACAAGTTAGGTGGTGCCTAACAACGCATATTATTAATATATTATTTGTAAATCTTATCAGAGTAGTAGTCGAAAAAAATATTTATCATTGATTAAATGTTTTCATTGATGATATAATTACTTAAAGAAAAATGTGTATGTTTAAAAAAT